TTGCTCCGAAATGTCACGAAGATGTTATCAACAAAAGTACTCAACAAGAAATAGAATCAAAAAACTCAATAGAGACTATAAGAATGATGATCATAAAATGTTCAATAACTACTACTATAAGAAGCACTATCACCCTAATAACACTGTCAACAGAACAACAGAGCACTCAGATTATTACAGAAAATAATATAACCAAAACTATTACAATCATAGAAGAAAGGTTAACAAGTATTATCATCGAAATGAACAATTTGGAACAGGAAGATATAAGAATAAAGGATATTATAAGAAAAGACAAGGATGGAAGAATAAAAGGAAAGAAGAAAACACAAAAACAATACAAAAATGGATGAAAAGATTTGAAGAATTAGAGAGACTAGTTAAAGAGAAATTAGAGATAACAACAGACGTAAAAGAAGAAGAAATAGCAAAGGAAATGGTAGAAAAGCAAGAAGAAATAATTCAAGAAAAATCGACTCAAGAGAAAGAATAAAGACAAGAAGAAGAGAAACAAACAATAATACGAAAGTGTGAAGAAGAAAGAAGAAAAATTACTAAAAAATTTGAAGAAGAGATAATGAAAATGAAGATAAAATTTGAGAAAGAAAAAAAAAGAGTTAGAAATGATGATGAAGAGCAAAGAAGAAATACAAAAACCAAGAAAACAAGAAGAGATAAAGAATAAAGAGAAAAAAGAAGAACAAGAAGAAGCTAGAAAGAGAGAACAAGAGATAGAAAATCTAAAAAGTACACATGCTATAGAAATAAATAAAAAAGAAGAAAGAATCATAACACTTAAAAGAAAACTTGAGAAACAAGAAAAAGAGAAAGAAATCCAAGAGATTAAAGAAAAGAAAGAGATAAAAGAAAACAACAAAAAGAGAGAAGAAGAAATAAAGAAAACAAAATAAAAGATAGACAAGCTTAAAGAAGAAATGGAGAAGATTAGAAAGATGAAAGACAAAGAAATAGAAGAAAAAGACAAGATAATAGAAGAAGAAAGAAAAGAAAACATAGAAAAAGAAGAAAGAATGAAAAACAACGAAAAAGACGAAGAAATGAAGGAAAAGGTAAAAGAGAAGGAAGAAATAGAGAACAAATACCTACAAGGACAAATTGATAAAAGTATAATAGAAAGCAAAGTAATGAATGAAAACACAAATACTAATAAATGGAATAGAAAAAAGAGGAATAAACGTAGAAGAAATATTTAAAGAACAAGAAGAAAATGATGATGAGGAGGAAAGAAATTTTCAAAGACAGAAGAAGAAAAGAACAATGATGAAAGAGACAGAACAAGGGACAATTATACGACGAGCATCATCAGTGACAGAAACGATGAATATAATAGGGAAAGAACAGAAGAAGATGATCATAATAGAAGAAGAACAAGAGAAGAAAGAAGAGGAAGAAGTTCAGCAAGGAGAAGAGAAGAAACAGAATTAAAGAAGAAAGAATATATTTGTTATGGAATTAACATAATGAATATTAAAATAAAAAAGAAATTAAGAAAAGAAGAAATAAAAAGAATATTAGAAGAATATAATATTGATATTACAATCAAAGAATATATAAAAATAGTTAAAAGAAGTAAAGGGATTAAAAAAGAAAACATAGAATACGTTAATAATAAAGTAGATGACATGATTAAAGAAGAAGATAACATAGAAAATGGAAAGATTAGAGAGATTAATAGAAAGAAAAAGAAGAAAGAGATTGATATAGAATATATAGAAGAGTTAATAAAGAAAAGTAAAAGAAAAGAAATCAAAGAGTGTATATACATTGGATATTATTTCAATAAAGAAGTATGTGAAGAGATAATAAGATATATTGATGAAAAATGGGAATGGAAAGAAGGAAGTATTAAAGAGATACAAGAAGACATTTACCGAATAACATACATAATAAAGAAGTATTTAGAAAACAAATTCATAGGATTTAAGAAAGAATATGGAGTAGTAATACAAAGCAAGATAAATAAACTAAAAGACATGGTAATAAGAGGAAACTATAAAAAGTTAAGAAGGATATTAAGAATAAGAAGAATGATAGAAGAAAAGATAAAGGGAGAAGTAAATGAAGAAATAAAACAATTAGAATACTTAAAATAAATGAGGAAAAAAGAAGTAGACTTAAACAAAAGTGAAAGAACAAGAATCTACAGAAACAAAATCATGAGTACTACTGGAAAAAAAAAGAAATAAGAAAGGAAATAGGAAGAGAAGAAAAACCAAGTGAAGAAGACACAAAAGAGTTTTTGAATAAGATATATAACAGAGGAAAAAGAATAAAGAAAGAGAATGAAAGAATAAAAGAGATAATTGAAGAGAGTAATAGAAGGAATTTGAAAAGAATAATAAACACAAAAGAAAACATAGAGAATGTGATAACAAGAATACCATCATGGAAAGCACCAGTGATTGACATTATTCAGGGATACTACTGGAAAATATTAGAGAGTGTTAGAGACAGATTAATTATAGTGTTTAATGAATGGTTAGACACTCCAGAAAATATTCCAATAGAAATGTTAACAGGAAGAACTATTCTAATACACAAAGGAGGAGATAGCAAAAAAGCAGAGATTTATAGACCATTAACATGTCTTAATGTAATAATGAAAATCTTTACTTCAATCATAAAGAGAAAGATAGAAGAATAACTAGCAAATAATGAATATAAATACCAAATTAATAAGAGTCAATATGGAATAAGAAAAGAAGTCTGGCAGCAAAAGAACGAAGTATCATAAGTTTATGAGAAAGAAATGAAAGAGAAGTACAGAAGAAAAGATATTTAGAATCATTCTATGACATTAGAAAAGCATATGATACAGTTAATCATGAATGGCTAGAAATTGTATTAAGATACTTCAAAATACCATTTCAAATAACTGAATTAATAAAAAGTATGAGTAGTAGATGGAGAATAAGAATAGGATATGGATATAAAGAAGAAATAGGAGAAGTTAAAATAAAGAATGGTATATTACAAGGAGATTCGCTTTCTCCACTCCTATTCATATTACAAATGAATATCATTTCTGATGTTATTGATAAAATAAATGAGAAATGAATAAAAGTGACACACGTACCGTACATGGATGATATTAAAGTAACAA